GTGCTAGATGTTGGCTTACACATACTTGTGGCTCGTTTGTTTTTAGGATGTAAACAGAATGGACTTCTGCATCGCTTTTATCTGTTAGTGTTTAGCCTGAAAGAATGTCCCCGTAAGAAGTGCCCCTCCAATGACAAACATTATCTCTGGGAACAGCTGAGGTGGTTCACATTGGAAGAATTCATTATAGAAGCAGTTGGTTGTGAAATTCCTAGATTTGAGAATCCTTTTTGAGTAATGAGCTCTTTGACTTTTTCCTTGTTTATTTTCCTTTGTGTTACTATTTCTCATGGTGGTACTATCAAAGTAGAGCGAGTGGTATGCTAACATTCCTTAACGTACTCCCTAGTTAGATCTAGAGACCTCCCACACAGTTAAAGTCAACAGTTCAAATTTAGAAGCTACTTACTTACAAATGAGTACACACCATGACAGCTTATAAAGATTTACAGTTCGAATCCACCAGCTTCTCCACAGAGAGAGACAGGCAACCTCTTCCCTAAAGATTTACAACCTTGAAAACCTGAAGGAGGGTCACTGTTAGTCAGTATTGACTCCACGGCAGTGGATTAAATTAAAGTATATTTGAGTACAAGAGGAGCAGCCTGGGCAAGCTTGGTGGCCTAGTAGCAAGAAGCTGCACTGCAGTTCCAGAGGTGCACCGTTTGAATCCACCAGATGCTCTGCTGGAGAAGGAGGAACAATCACCTCCTGTACCAGTCAGATCTGATTTGATGGTACACGCACAAAAAAATAATAATTTAAAAAAAGAGAGTAACAGTCTAGTTACTTAACTGTGGGAAGAGATGTCTGACCCAAGTAACAAATATTGTTTGTATAAAATATATTCTGGGGATAAAGATAGTAGATTTCTGTAGAAAGATGTTAAAATCCTGAGACCAAGAAAGGGAAGTAGAAGAAAGAGACCTAGAGAAGGCTTATTAATAACTGTAAAATAACTCCATTGTAACATTTTCTGTTATGTGAGGACCTCTGATGGTTGGACGTGTTACACGTGGTGATACTAAAGCAAAGGTTGCTGGTTTGAGTCCCCAGCTGCTCTGATGAGAAGTCTCCTCTCATGGAGATGGGGAGCTTTTGGAACCCAGTGAAGGGTTGCTGTGAGTCGGAACCCACTCATGTATATATATTTATGCTCATCACTAACATGTTCAAGTTAGAATCTGAAGGAGGTGTCCAAGGACTAGACAGACGTACAAGAATGACTTCTAATCAGTGTGTAATCATCTAGAAGTACAGGTGATTTCATGAGTCCTTTAAATTACTCAAAAGCAGCTTATTTTAAATAATTCATGTGCAGACTTTTACCAGAATTTTACACAAGAGGCCCATTTATGTGATTAGTTCAGGAACAAAATCCAATTGGAACCTATCCAGGCATTTTGTAACGAGTAATCTTCAGTATCATTGCCATTACAAGGGAGACTGACTTCTAGTTAAGCTCAATTAATCAGATACCAGCATGTGTGTTGACTTGATGGCTTTTAAACTTCTGTTCTGGGTGATGGGAGCCAGGATGCCAGTGCTGATGCTCTGAGTAGCCGTGTGCCCCAGTTCAGTTCAGTGGCCTCTGGGGTGCAAATGTTCCGCCACAGAGCGAGATGTGTAGTGAGAAGATCAAGTCTTAGTGCTTTTTCCTCAGGAAAAGGCTAAGAGACTGCCAGATGCCTCGGGGTCTGCACTTTTCAGTGAGGTTCTGGCTCCCAGGACACTGGAGTATGGAGGGCTTTTGCCTTTACCTGCTGGGCTCTGGAGTCATCTCCTGGAATCATCCACAAGCCAGAAATGAGCTCCAAGTTCTGACAGAGACAAAGTCCCCTTTCTATCCAAAATCCAGCACCCGGACAAAGGAAACCTGACACCTGAGAAAGGGGGGAGAACAGGGAGGGAACCAGAGGGCACTTCTGCCTCAGAGCTGCATAGTAAGCGAGGAGGTGGGCCGAAGCTTTAGAAGGGAATTCACAGAATCTGTCGGCTTTTGTTGGGAGTTTCATTGGCGTTGTTCATAGGGAGCGGCACTGCCATCCCCAAGCCTGAGCCTGTTTGTTGGTGGTTCGAAACCAAGGTAGAAAGATAGGCAGTCTCCTCCCGTTTATAGCCTCAAAACCCGTTTGCAGGTGAGCTCGGGTTCCTTTCTGACTCGGCAGCAATGCACGAGTGAAGGCTTGTCCTTCGGAAACAATGCTGAGCTCTCGTGGGCATTTCTGCTACTCCAGAAACGTGCGTCTTTGCAGCTGTGTTTTAGACGACAAAGTGCCTCAGCTTTGGCCTGGAGGATCCAGAGGGAACCTGTTTTCATTGATGCTTTACTTACAGTAGTTTACTATTGTTATTTCACTAGATAATTTAGTCAAGTCCAAAGGAAAAAAATAATTCCTAACAGATGATGAAAAAGGTCGAGCTTAAAAACCACTGTGAATTTATAGATAACTTGTTTGATATGCAAAAATGCTAGAAATTGAGCTATTTTGAGACCTTATTTAATTTTACACGATGATGTAGACTCCGCGTTACTACATACTGTGTTCTTGGAATTGTGCAGATCACCCACCTAGCCCTTCAGTCCAATGTCTCTCATTACCTGACCAGCCTTCTTTTTAATTATAAGCAGAACTCCTCCTAGCAAAATATCTTTTTAAATAAAACTTTCTGCCTAGTGCTTCATGGATATGTGTGAAGGAGTTCAGGAAATACACTATTCCACAGGTTATACTGCCTTCAAATCTCTGCAAAGAACAGCCACATAAAATAACAAAGCAGTGCCCAATGGAATAATGAAATAATGCCTGCTTCGAGTCCATGGCTGTGCCCGCAAAATGTAACCTGGAAACAAAGTGATCGATTGTGTCCCAGGAGGATACAAAGGGCGGCCCAGAATCCACACCAGAGTTGTTCTCGGTGCCTTTTTGAGGCCCTCACGTGTCTCTCCTCTCAGTGTATTGATATTCCTTGAGCACAAATCATATTAACCCAAGTGTGTCCACAGCCGATTAGAGGGTGAGGTGTGAAGTTCACATGAAAGAACAAAGATCGGTTTGAATAGTACGTGAAAAGAGGGGGAACAGCCAAGAGTATGAGCATAAAGCCACATTGAATCAGTGAGTAGAAGGTCTACCTGAGGGTGGGGATTGATTCTGAAACAGTGTCGTTAAAGGTGACAGTGCTGTTCTACTCCCTACTGTATTGTTTAGTGAAAAAAACCTCAGCTGTCTTGGCTTTTTTAGTTTTCATTCAACTAGCACTTGCTAAGCAGACACTATTCAGATTGGACCATGTCTTGGACCCTACCCTTCCTGAGACTCCCTGTCTTAGGGTAAGATAGGCAAATGCTTCAGTGTGGCCAGACGTGGTTGAGATACCAACAAGGTTCCGCGGAACTTCAGAGAGGCCAGCAGAGACTAGCTAACAGTTCAGAGAAGGCTCCTTGGAGGTGGTGAGTCAGGGAGGCCTGGCTGGGGTCTTGAAAAATGAGTAAAGATCAGCTTACATGATTGGCTGAAGATACATGATGCTGTAACTCTGTGAAACAGAAGTGATGTTGAGAAATCGCGGCTCAAAAAGGGAATGAAGAGCAGATTGAAAGTGAAGATTTGATGTTGACTTTCCATGTTTACTGTTCATGCTTTTGTATTTATACAGTCATTTTTAGATCATTAGATAAGGGAAAGCGAGACGAGCAGGGAGTAGGGAAGGTGTGCAATAGTTGATGTATCTCCACTCATAGCCTAGGGAGCTCTGGTGGCACTGCCAACCGAGAGTCCAATGGTTCAAAGCCACCAGCAGCTCCAAGGGAGACAGATGGGCCTTCTCCTTCCCTGTGATTTAAAGCCTCTGACTGTAAATTGGCCCTCACTAAGAGTCACCTGTGAGTCAACTTGACGTCATATAATAACAAACCCGTAGCCTAATCTTCTGCTGTAAAATCTTTTTGATCATTTAGCTTTGGAATCTGTATTAACTGTTTTGTTTTTATTGTTACACAGACCAATATCCAGGTAGCAACCAAGTAAACTTTAGAAAATTAAAATATTCTAGTTATGAGTTTTCTTTGTTGTTGTTCTTTAAAAAATAATTAGACCTTCCTTTGTTTAGGTTGATTTCCCCCCCCCCCAGGAACAGACAGTGAGATTAAAATTTGAGTGTAAACAGGTTATTTCGGTGGTGAGACAGAAAGGGTCAGTAGGAGAGGGACCAGCTGAACTAGGTGGTGCCAGGGTCCTGCCACTCACTGCACTTAAAGGGGTCAAATGTAGAACAGAACCCAATCATAAAGAATGCTGAGTTGATAAAAACTGGGGGAACTCCCGAGACAGTGGCCCCCAGATGTCCTTGGTGCTTGGAACTGAACTCACACCCCTTGGCCAAACAGTGAAGAGGCCTGTGCCAGGAAGATATGGACTCCTTAGAATAGTCAACCATTTACCATCAACAGGGTAACGTTTGCCCAGGTATAAAGCTCAGAGGCAGGAAGGCATAAGAAAAGAGGCTGAATGGAACTAAGAAACAGGAAGAGTGCTGTTACATTGAGGGGGTTACAGGGTCACAAAACAAAATGCATACAAATTGCTGTGTGGACAAACCATTTTGCTTTATAAACTTTTACCCAAATCACAATAAAAAATAAAATCTGTCTGTATTTGATAAATACATATGTGGATGCAACCGCTTCCTGGGGGCTGCTGTCGTATAGATCACAGAATCTTATATTTAGCTTTTTACTTTTTAAACAAAAAATCCTAAGTCTGACTGTGTCACTCACTTTCTGGGGGACTGAGTTGCACCAGACGTGGTGAAAACTCGCAATGTAAAGGCAGACATTGCGGGAGCCTTTTGGGAAGCAAGTCTTTGACAAGAAAACACCATATATAGAGTCTTATAATGAGAATTGTCTCTCTTGGGTTAGCTCTGTTGGAGGACGCAGTTTCTGATGAGGTGAAATGGATTTGAACACTCTTGCCCCAACTTTTCTTTTCTCTCAGGTTTCTAACATCCAGGCACGAGCAGTTGTACTGTCCTGGGCTCCACCTGTCGGTCTTTCGTGTGGACCCCACAGCGGCCTTCCCTTCCCCTACAGTTACGAGGTGGCCTTATCTGACAAAGGACGAGATGGAAAGTACAAGATCATTTACAGGTAACTGGATGTCTATGTTTGTTCCTTGGCGCTAAGCTGTGACACTGGAACCATTAAGGAAATTAGAAGGGCGAGGAGAATGTTAATAATTTTGCAAATTCTCCTTTAAATGGTTCATTTTAAGGATTAGCAGTAATAATGACTTATGATATCAAGAGTTACTTTTCAATAAATCTACCAGATAAATACTAGTGTTGTTGTGAGGCTCTCACCATGAATAATGATGTTGGAGAGGCATTTGGTTTCAGGGGCATCTCTCAGTTGGTTTTGTTACTTATCAGAATGGTATTAATGACATTTTCTTTTATTATCAGAGTTGCGTGTGATTTCTGTTTTTTAAAAACCAGCCTACAATATTTTCATGTCTTTCCCGTTCACCTTGTAGCTTTTCTATTCAGTAGTTTTCTACCTGGCAGTGCAGATTACTACTTCAAAACGTTTCACACCAAGGTTTTTACTTCAGATTTAAAAAAGTTTAATGCACATAATATGGGATCAGGCTGCCGACAGCCCCTTCGACTTTAAGGACTCCCAGATATTAGCTATTCAAATGATTTATGATCCTGTCCTAAATGTGATAAATTACAGAGTCAAGGCTTTTCTCCTTTGCCGTTTCTGGGCCAAAGCCCCACTGGTGGAGCAGGAAACCAGAAAGCCAGTTCTATTTTAATTCTTGTTTGACTGCCCAGTGACTGCCCCCTGGAGCAAGTGCCCAGCCTGGGTGAAGTGGCCACAGCGACCTCACTTCCCCGCCTTCCACGCACTTTCTTTTCCTGTCCTGATGCAAACTTGTGCAGACTTTTTGTTTGCCATCCGTGTACCTTGCTCTTGGGATGTATTTCATCCTAATGAAAAGAAAAAGAAGTAAGAAAGGAAGCCCGTTAGCTGTGCCCTTGTTTCTTAGCTGGGCTTATGCAGGAATCTCCTCCAGTCGCCGGATCTCCTATCAAGTAGCCTGAACGTGACCGAAACCCACGTCCCACCATGCTGCTCCCCTGCACAGACCACTCCAGCGAGTCTCTGTTGTACTGAGAATAACTCGCTAACTTCTTACACTGACTGCCATTTGGCTTCATGGCCACTTGGTTCTGTTTTGGAAAATCAGAATTTTTTTTTTAAGGTTGTTGTGATGTGCTGTTGAGTCGCTTGCAAAACTCCTAGTGACCCTGTGTACAACAGACCCGAAACCTGCTCTTATAAATACATGGAACGCCACCTACTTCTTTGACCAGGAACAGATAGTCTGTCAGTGCAGTGTTCATGTTTGTGACAAGAGCAGCCGAGCAGGTGCCAGAGATGAGAAAGGCGAGGAGGTTGGAGAGGAGAGCAGGGCGAGGACAGAGCCACCTCCGCCAACACTGGGTGTGGCCAGGAGGGAACGTAGTCCACGATGCTTCACTGTTGGGACTTCTTTCAAGAGATTTGAATTGTATAAAGCTTTCTGATTTTTAAAGTAATTCACCAAATTGAAAATATTTTAAAGATTCAAATGACAGAGAGCTGCAAGCCAAAGGTGAGCTTGGAACTTTTTGCTGAAATTTTTATATGAAAATTGTATTTCGTACTTAGAAGGTGTGGCATAGAGATTAAGAAATACTTAGTTTACCCAGATTCACCTGTTCTTAGCATTTTGCCCTATCTGCCTTATTATTTGACCTCTTCCTCCCTTTCCTTATGTTCCATATATCATGGTCTTTTACTACTAAGCACTCCCAACAATTAAGGACATTCACTTAAAGAAACTACAGTACAATTAATAAGTTTGTGAATTTACGTAAGATACTTTTCTCTAACCCCTCATCTATATTTCTGTATTGTTATGGTTTTGACCTAAAACTATTAGAGTCTTTTTAATATCCTCCCACACAGAATCCAGTCAAGGACCAGGTACTAAATCATTTCTCCAGCCTTTTTTTTCCCCTTTAATGACGTTTACATTGTTTTTATTGTAATTTTAACAATTATTGTGAAAATTTACCAAAAAAGTTGGATTTCCAATCACTGGTTATTGCACATTTTCCTCTCTCCTACATTTCCCCTCCCTGGCCAACTTTAAAAAAAAAAATCATTCTTTGTTGCACATTTGTGCCGTCCCTGGTCCACTTTGTAATACAACTCTTCTACTGGACTGTTATACAGATAATGCCTAATAATATATTCTATTTAAACGGTTCTTTTCCTCATCTGTTCCAATGCACTGTTCATTATCTAGCCACTCTTTTCCCAGTCTTCCTCCAACTGCCTGTGTTCTCAGTTCTGTTCCTTTGATTTATGTGTCTGTCATTTTACCGGTGTTGTGCTGTCTTTGAGATCAGGGAGTGAGATGTCACCTAACTTGTTTCTCTTTTTCAGGAGTGCTTTACTTATTCAGGCTCTCTGTCCTTTCCCATCTCATTGAAGAATGAAATTAGTATCTGTATTGGGATTGCATTGAACTTGTAAATCACCTTTGGTGGCATTGTCATTTTCACAATATTGGGTCTTCCTGCCCATGAGCATGGTATATGCTTCCATTTCTCCAGGTCTCTTGTTTCTTTTAGTAATGTTTTGCCATTTTTCTTTGTATAGGTCTTCTGTGTCTCTCGTTAGATTTACTCCCAAGTATCTAATCTTGTGGCTATTGTGATGGGTATTGTTTTTCTTAGCTCCATTTCTGTATTCTCTTTGTCACTGTACAAAGAGATCCAGTTAATTTTTGTTTGTTGATATCTGTCCTGCTACTTTCCTGAATTGGTCAGCTATGCCCAGTAGTTTTCTTGGAGAGTCTTTTGGGTTTTCTAAATATACTATCATATGAACTATACATATAGAGATAATTTTACTCCTCTTTGTCAATTTGAATATCTCTTACTTCCCTCTCTTGTCTTATTGCTAATCCTAAGACTTCCAGTACAATATTGAATAGAGAGGTTCTATTGGGCATTTTTACCTAGTTCCTGTCCTCAAAGGAAATTTCTTTTAATTTCTCTTCATTGAGAATGATTTGGCTCTTGGTTTTGCATATGTATTTTTTACTGTGTTGAGGAAATCCCCTTCTTTTTCTATTTTGTTGAGTGTTTTAATCAGGAAAAGGTGTTGGATTTTGTCAAAGGTCTTTTCTGTATCAATTAATAGGATCATGTGGTTCTTGGTCTTTGATTTGTTAATGAGATTAATTACATTGATTTTTTTTTATGTTGCACCATCCTTGCATACCTGTTATGAATCCCAGTGGATCATGATGATTTTTTTTTAAATAGATTGTACTGTTGGATTTTATTGGCCATTATTTTATTGAGGACGTTTGCATCTATGTTCATGAGAAATATTGGCCTATAAATTTCTATTTTGATTGCGTCTTTACCTGACTTTAGTAATGAGGATATGTTTGCTTCATAGAATGAGTCTGGGGGGATTCCATCTTTTTCTGTTTTTCTGAAATACTTTATGTAGAATTGGTGACAGTTATTTGAATGTTTGATAGAAAGTTGTTTTATTACCTGTATGGTTTACTCTTTTCTAATAGTTATGTTCAGGTGTTTTACTTCAGTTGGTGATAGTTTAGGTATGTTGTGAGCTTCTAAGTATTTGTCTCTTTCTTCTAGGTTTTCTTTTTTGTTTGAATATATTTTTTCTTACGTTCTTTTTTTATGACATTGCCCCTTTTGTCTCTTATTTGAATTATTTGTGTCTTTTCTTTTGTTAATTTTGCTTGTGGTTTGTTGATTTTTAGTGATCTTTTTAAAAAACCAACTCCTGGCCTTGTTGATGATTTTAATTAAGTTTTGGGGGGGTTTTTGTTTTCTAATTTATTGCTGCCCCTATTATTAGAATTTATATTTTTAGAAGGTATCAGGGGGTTTTGCTGCTCTTTTTCAACTTGTTGGAGATGGTGAGTTAAAGAATCAATTCTCATTTTTTCTTCCTTTTTGATGTGTTTGCTTATTGCTATAAGCTAACCTATAATGACTGTTTTGACTGTTTTCCAAAGGTTTTGGTAAATTGTGTTTTCATCGTGATTTGTTTAAAGAAACTTTTTCATTTCCTTTTTTATTTCATTTATTACTCTTGTTCAAGCAAGGTGTTAGGGGTTTTTTCCCCCTTTCTTTATCCTTTTGCGGTTAATTTCTAATTTTGTAGCATTCTGGTCTGAGAAAATGGTTTGTGTTATTTCTGTGTTTTTTATTTATTGAGGCTTGCTTTGTGACCCAAAATATATTCAGGAGAATATTCCATCCACGTTGAAGAAGAATGTATACTGAGCTTTGCTAGGGTGCATTAGCCTCTATTTACCTATGAGATTGAGTTGGTATCTTGAATGGTTTAATTCTTCAGAAACTGGCATTTTTTAGTAGCATGTCCTTACTTTGTATTTGTTACTTTGATATGAGCAAGTAGAAGAAGTTCAGTTATAATTTCTGGTCATCTAAATCAGTTTCTATAAGAGAGCTATCTTTTGAGTGTCACATGAAAGAAACAGGTTGAGATCTCATCAGGTGAGTCCAGACATTGATATTGGGATACCTGCCTGCCAGGCTTAGACTGTGACCAGTTACCCTTCATCCACAGCTGGTACAGCTACTTTTCATTTTAACAGGTGATAAGGCCACTCCTCAGAAGGGAGAAAACGTTAACTTCCTTACATTATGAAATTTTATTAGGAGATTAACATTGCTGTTTTCTTGATCTAGGATGACGTCATGAAAAGATCTGATTTTGGAGGCTGAAAAATGCCGTAATAGTGAAGACTAAAACTTGCTTCTAGCTTATGATAGGATCCAGACAAAATAGTTCTTGATTTATTGCTGGTAAATGGCTATCAAAACCACAGTTAAATGTTGTATTGCTTTTGAGATCCATTAACTAACGAGCACATTTTCTTTGCAGTGGAGAAGAGTTAGAATGTAACCTGAAAGATCTTAGACCGGCAACGGATTATCACGTGAGGTGAGTTCGGGATGCAGAAGACAAGCTGCATTGGAGAATCTCAATCACTGACGTAAATCATGTGGCCACTGTTAAAAGGTTTGGGTGAATGTCACTGGTCTAAGTGAAAGTTGTGATCCCACGGTTCATTGGCCACACGCTGGTGTGACACATTAGATCATAGTGACTGGGAATGCTTAGAAGAGCTTCTAGTAATAGTAGAGTAGGTGATACTCTGAGTAGAGTTTTTTAATTAAAAGTCATTTTCCATTTGTATGGTCTTATTCGCTCTTCTGGACTGTGTGACTTAAGATGTAATGTTTTGTCTCTAATAGCCTTTGGTTTCTTACTAAGGGGATTCAAATATTGTGTTATAAACTACGTATAGTTAGCCTACGTGACTAAATAGACTTCATATTTTGCAAGCACGTCTCTGTACTTTACTTCATATAGTTAGCCTCATAACTAAATAGACTCCATATTTTGCAAGAACATCTCTGCACCTTGCAGTTCAGTAGATTTTGAAACAAATCAGGCAGTGCTGGCATCACATTATTTCTGATGTTAATGAACTAATTTGCTTCAACATTGACTATGGAGTTGGATCTTGAGTGAGAGGACTGTAGAAAGCCAGGCTAGTTTGTCTTAAGAAGAACCAAGTCAACCACAGATAGAGAACCCTTAGCTAATTGTTCAGATCCCAGTTGATATATTCATTTAGCAATATGCAAATATGCAGCTTTGTCTTTGTGGCCATAGCATTTTTTTGTCTAGCTTTATTTTTTGGTTTTGTTTAAAGTTTACTAAAAGATGACATTTTGTCAAACAAAATACACAATAATGCCTCTTCCTTTCTTTAATCATCTATGTGTAGTGAAGACTATGAAATAAAATTGCAAGCACCAGGTACAAGCATGCCCAGAGGTCATTTCTCATCATATCTTCCTTTATGATGAGTTAGAAGCAGCGAGGCCTGATAGGAAGAGCATATCTTAATTATCAGGAAGTTTAGTTCCAAGCCTGGTTCTGCCACTGTTTAGTTATTGTGAACTTGGTCTTGTTGTTATAAGGTGCTGTTGAGTTAAGTATAATTCGTAGCAACGCTGTGGACAAAAGATCTGAACCCTGTTCTGTCCTGCACCATCCTCACACTTCCTGACACACAAGAACCCATTTCAGCAGTCTCTGTGTCAGTTCACCTGGTCGAGGGTCTTCCTCTCCTTTGTTGACCTCCACCCTTCCCAACATCGTGTCCCCCTCCAAGGAATAGCACCTCCTGGCATCATGTCCAAAGTGTGTGCGGCCTCCAGCGAGCACTCTGGCTACCACCTCTCCATTCTCTTGGCCGTCCATTGGATGTTCAGTGCTCTTCTCCAACACCACAGCTCAAAGGCGTCAATTATTTTCTGTCATTCTTAGTCATAGTCCAGGTCTCAGATGCATAGCTAGTAATTGGAAAGACCACGGCCTGAATCAGACACACCTTAGTCCTCAAACTGGCAATACTACTCCTCAATAATTTAGAAAGGTCCCTAACTGCATATTTTCCTAGTACAAAGCATCTCCTTCTTTCTTGACTGCTTGTACAAAGGGTGTTAAATTGTGGATCATGCTACAGTTACTTTCAGTTTAAGAAAGGTAGGCTGAACTGGAAGGTGTTAACATTTTATTATTAGAAGTGAATCCCTTAAAACTTAGGTTTGGAGCAGTTTATACATGAGCAAAAGAATTTTTATATTCAGACGTAAAATGCACATCTTAAATGTTGTGTTAGTAAGAGGAACTCTTTCACAACAGATATGTCTTGGAGGGAATGCAGCCAGAGTGTTCTTTGGAGGCAAGAACGATGAGGCTTTGCCTCACATACTTTGATCATGTTGCTAGGAGGGGCTGTCCCTTGGAGAGGGTTATGATTCTGCTGAGGATGGAAGGTTGGTGAAGAAGAGGAAGACAGCCAGGTGGGTTGACATGGTGACTGCCACAATGGGCTCTTGTGTGTCAGAAAGTGTGAGAATGGTGCAGGATAATAAGATCTTTTATTCATACGGTTGCTATGAGTTGCACGCCTCTTGACAGCACCTAACAACAATAACAGTTTTCACAATCATCTCTTCTGTTTAAATCAAAACTTCCAGATTTTGAGTCCATTAGCTTCAACCTAAATGCACACAGCCTAGATAAACAAAATTATTAATTACAAGATGAATAATCTGTGAAGCTAGGGTGGCAATACAAATGACTTAACTCTTCTTAATAATTGTCAATTTCACAGTAAAACAGAAGTAACACCAGACAGGGCTCTCTGTAAATGTTACCCATTATTCATTGTTAACATTTGTTTACTTTTTTCCCTCCTCAGTGTTTTGAATAGCTTATGATTATGGTTTACTAAAAGTTTGCGTTCATTAATCTTTTGTCCGTTCAAATGTTTACAGTATTCTTTTCATGAAATCCAAATGTCATTAAGAGCCTGCCCTGTACTTGCTCTTCTCTTTCATTTCCCCTCTTCCAAGGATGTTGTTGTTGTTTGCCTTCGAGTCGAGCACGACTCACAGCGACCCTGTGAACAAAAGGGCTGAAGCTCCTCTACAACTATCGACATTTATCAGAGTTTATAGAGTTTCTGGAGAGGTGTTATTTAGGAAGTGGATGCCACTCTTTCTTCCAAGGGATAAATGATGAAGACAATTTACCAATTGCTTATTTTGTAATTGTCTGCCAGGCAGACAAAAGGCGTAATCACTGGATCCCACAAAAACAGTCGATGAGTTTGGATACAGCATCTTTGTTAAGACGTTGAGGACTGCGTGCATAATAACCTCTCTGGCACATGTGACGCCATACACAGACAGTCAGAGGAACCCCTTGCGATTTAATTGGTCTAGCTTTCTGCTTGCTGCAGAGAAGGAAAGTCCTTTCTCCCCTCGGTCATGGTCTGCTCAGGGATTTTACAAACTTGAGTCTGTTTGCCCCGTGAAAGACTAGATAGATCATCCATTCTCTTATAGGTAGTCTGTCATTTTTCATGTTAGAAACAATCACTTGTGCTTAACTTGACTTTGGCTTCTTTTGCTTCGAATTTGCATAGATTGGAATTTGAGGTTAGTGACTATTAATTACTAAGTATATGTTTAGGCAGTTATTTTTACTTGTGTAGTGAAGATAGAGAGATCATATTAGATTAAATTAGTTATGCACAAGCAGATCTGTTGTAAGCATGTAAAATATTGTGTGGGCATTGGTTTGTTTAGTTATTTCAAGACTTTTTTTTCTTTTTTCGACACAATGAAAATTAAACTTAAAGGTTTCATTGCAATTTATGTACGTACCATTTGAACTTATGTTAGAATAAATGGGGTTTTTTTATTAGAATGAAGATATGTTCTTTCAGCACTGGGAAAAAAGGGGCAAAAAGCTTTTTCTGTTACCCAATTGAGAGTCTCCACTACATATTTAATACATATTATAAGCTTTTCTTATGTATTATAATCTCAAATATAGTTCTAGTTTAAACCCTCCGCAGGCCGTATGAAACTGATTCCCTCATTATATTTCCATGAGAGTGACAACAAAGGAATCTGATTTTCAAGGAGCTCTGGTGGCCTAGTAGTAAGAAGCTGCACTGCAATCCCAGAGGCACGCAGTTCAAATCCACCAGGTGCTCTGCTGGAGACGGAGGGGCAGTCTCCTTCCGTACCAGTCGAATCTGATTTGACGGTACAAACAAAACAAAAACAAGAAAACAAAAAACAAGAATCTGATTTTCAGAAAGCAGGAAAATGAGCAGTGACGTTCACTGGCATTTGTATTTGTGTGAGTATTACTGATTTAGAAAGCGCTGCCCTGGTAGGGGTCTTCTACCTCTTCACTGTTGAAAGTTGCTGTTTCTGCTCCTGGTTTCTTGTTGCATCTAAATTGCTGATCAGATTTCATTCCATTCACACAGGAGCCTTAGACAAGGCTTTTATAAGAAACTCTTTACCCTAGGAAAGAGTGATTTTAACAGATTATAAATGGCTTAGTCAGAATATACAATATGAAGAGTTAGAAAGAAAATATAGCCTGTTTCATACTGCTAACAGAAATAGAGCTATTTGTGTAGTGGTATCAATTAGTGTTCAGATCATGTGCGAATGGCTGTTTGTTTATATGGGCCTCTTCAGTGCTGTTTGGACCTAATTCTATGTGGAAGACTGTATCCCAAGACACTTCACATCTTAACTTTTTTTCTTCTTACATTGATAACTGGATTTTTTGCATCCTTCCCATCGATCCAACAACTGTTTTTTTGTTTGTTTGTTTTTTTTCTCTTTGAAAAGAACAAACAGATATGTCTTGGAGAAAGTATATCCAGAGTCCTCCTTGGAAGCGAAGATGACAAAGCTTTGTCTCGTTTACTTTGGGCATATTGTTAGGGGAGGCTTCTTAGGGACGTTACGCTTGGAAAGGTGGAGAGCAGGCGATACGCTTAACAAGATTCATTAACACGGTGGCTAGAGCATTGGGCTCATGTCTGTCGGAACTGATGTGAGTGACACAGTGCAGGACAGAGTTCAGACCTTTTGTTCACAGGGTCACTACGTTATTGTAGTTGTTATGTGCCGTCGAGCCACCTGCAACTCATAGAGACCCTATGCCCAATAGCTCTGAACCCTGTCGTGTCTTGTGCCAGTCTCACTGTCTCTGACACACCTGGCCCTATTGCACAAGGCACTGTATCAATCCATCCCCTCCAGGGTCTTCCTCTCATGCGTCATCTCTCCACCTGTCCAAGCATGTTATCCTTCTCCAGATATTGGTTCCTCCTGGCCACGTACCCAAAGTATGTGAAATAGAACTTCAAAATCCTTGCCTCCAGAGAACAAACAGTCTGATTTCACCCTCTCCAAGACAGACCCGTTTGTTCTCTTGGCAGTCCGTGGTGTGTTCAGCACTCTTCTCCAGCACCACAACTCAAAAGGCGTCAATTCTTCTTCTGTCATCCTTAGTCACTGTCCAGCTCTGTGATGCACAGCAAGTAA